GTATAGCAAAGCTGCCGACTCTACTATCCAAAAGATACAAGTTGCTTAAAGTCAGGCTCTCCGAAGGCTCTTTAAAGTGCCATGGTGTATGCGGACGAATGAGACCTTAGAATAGATCCGGTCAAAAAATACAAAAGGGACAGGCTCTCTGCGGTGTCTTTTAGGCTGGAGTAGTTGCTACTAGATTGATTTATTTTGAAGAGAATAATATATTGAATAGGAATATGTATATGCTATCAGACAGTCAAGCTGCTATAAAGTTCATTAATTCAGCCCAATATATGTCTGGGATAGTTGCGAGGATATAACATGCAATTGTAAGGTGCATGCACCTAGTTCATACTGCTTCAAGAAGATATTCGGAAGATCTGAGTGTACCGCTAGCATCATGCAAAAAATTGTTAAAATTTTCTGTATTGAGCAATTTCATACATTTAATTTAATATTATTCATTTATTTTAATAACGTAATCCTACCACTGAGTCTTACTCAGTCTTCACCCTCAATGATTTGCAGATATTTTTATGCAGCTTAAAGCAATCTTATTGAATAGTTAGAATATTAGTTTTGTAATGGGTTTATTAACGAATCATAGCCATGTGTGAAGATTGAGACTCCCGTTTAATAGTTCCTTTTGTGATTGTTACAAAGACACAGTAAATATGTTACATTTGCTTTATCACTGTAAAATCGATTTATTATGCTCAAAAAATGGACTTAATGGACCCATAGGATCACTGGTAAAATCTTACTTATTGATGTTTTTAAAATTAAAATACTTAGAGTTATGATATTGTATTATTTTGAGGAGTTAGTTAACAGCGATCTTAATGATAAATTTAAATGTAACTCCAACTCAACTCCAATAAATCAACTCCAACTCTTTTTAAAACATCTGATTTTAAATTACTACCTAGGTGTTGTTTTTCTTTATGCATTGTCCCTAACAAAGGTTTTGCCATCTTTTTCCCCTTTCAAAACCTACAAATTCAATTAAAGTAAATTCTTAGTATACGGTTGATTTAAATAAAACGATGAACTATATAATAGCTGAAAAGCCAGTAGTGTTATTAGTTGAGTTTTAGCTTAAATTCAACAACGACTGGAGTAACAATAGGTGCCAAAGATAGACCAACGTTTTATTAACCTTTATGGCAGTCTCAAATAGACATCTCAATAAAATGGGCGTTTCAGAGAGTAAATGGATGATCATTACTAGTCCACAATCTGTTAAAACAATTGGATATAGCACAAGAAATGACCTGAGTTATAGTGTAGATTGTATAATAATAATAAAGTTTTCAATATTATTAGGAATAAACAACTTATCCTATAGTATTCCAAAAGATTTCAAAAATTATGTTTTTCATATCGTGACCTGGTACCTACGGTATCTATATATTACTATTTATCATTTCTCCTGATGTCATACAAGTGGGGTGCAAGTGAATATGTTAAGACCACTAAAATTATAAAATATAACATTTTTATAAGCTATTTTAATTTGGACTTGGTTAATTATTTAAAAGGTATACGAAACGGGCTATGAAAACTATATAATATTAGTTGAACGATAGTCGGTGATAGTAATGAAATAGTTTATTAATTTAATAAACAAATATACACTAATTGTGAACATGTGTGATTAATATCATAAATTTTATTGTCTTAATTCTCCGAAATAATGATAAACTCTAGTATTTATAATAATTAATTAAATTACAAGTAATTAAATTACAAATTACTTTTTTACAAAAGTAAAAACATCTTAAACGAACTCCTAACTAATAATTACTAATAATAATTGGTGATTAATTTTTTTTTTTTTGGAGCCAGAATTTTTTATAAAACTGTAAATACGCAAAAAAAAGTAAAAAATAACATACACATATGATATAAATATATTATTATATTTTTGATATTCTAAAAAAATATTAAGTTTCAATTTGTTCTATTTTTAAATTTTTTTTAGCAAAAAAAAATCAAAAATTAATATACACATATGCCATATATATAAATTATTATATTTTTAATATTCTAAAAAAATATTTAGTTTGAATTTGTTCTATTTTTAAAAATTTTTATTTTTGTTTATGTTGATAAAAATTTTTTTACTAATTATGCGAGCGTACTTTAATCCCACTTTAAGTACTCATTAAGTACATGAATTTATAATTTAAAAATAGAATGGAATATTTTTAAACTTAACACCTACATATAATATGTCAATCAAATATAAATTGACAATTTTTATTTATTAATTTTTTATTAATTTTTCTGAAATAAATCACAGAAATATTCAGTTTGCAAGTACAATTAGCGATGATTTAATTATAGATTCTTAAATGGATTCTGTTATAAATCAATAGTTGAGACTCTTTAAATTGTTAACTAAAAGTAAGAGATGGTAAAAATAAATATTACCAGTTGAAATGAAGTGAGCAGGGGAAAAACGCCCACGGCGTGCCTGGCATACCAAAAAGTAATTATAAACAGTTTTGTTGAGAATTAAAAGCATTTGACTTAAAATGGAAATGGAAAAAAATTTTTTCTTAATATAAAAAGAAATCTACAACTTATTTACATATATATAAAAGAAAGACTTTGAAAATAGATGTGGGACTGTAACTAGAAAAGCAACTCTTCGACTTGATTTATTAAGAAACAAAATACGTATTAGAATGCTTAAGACAAATTAATGAAAAGATTACTACCATTTATTTGTTAATTAATTATTTTGAAATTCTTATTAAAATATTATCGTATACTCACAAGATTACAACCATTTAAATGTAACACACATAGACATATAGAGAGCCATACACATCTATATGGAAAATCACTACTTATATCTATCAGATTGAAAACAGCATTACTATGATATTGCAATCGGTTCATATATATCAGTATTTGTATATGCTCCTAAAATTAACAAAAATATATGTTATTTCATAAAATGATTTTCTAATAGGCGGAGTAATGCAACTATTGACTATTATTGGTACAATGGCCATTCACTTGGTCATTTATAGTGGGTTTCTTTCTCCTTTCTCTATCTTAAGTTCTATTGTGATTCCTTCGTGATTTTTCTTAATTTGTCTTTACCTGCCGGAAAGATCATTTTCCATACTTTACTGTTTAATGATCAATTTATTTATTTATTTTACAGTTTTCTTTCACCTCTCATTCCCAAAGAACGTGACAAAGTAATGGAATTCAGAACTTTTTGAGAATTCTTTGCGAACATATTGCATTAAAGCTATAAGGATCTTAGTATCTTATTATTTTTAAAATAAACTGTGAACAAAAAGATTTAAAATCAATAAAAAACTTATAGTTTAAAGAGTTTCGAAAAATGTTTTTAGTGTGGCGTCAAAGTCCATATATAACTTATTGATTTCGAACTGATTTATAATATCAGTTTAATCGTTTAAGAGATGTTACATCTTTAAAGACCACAAAAACAATTTACTGCTTCAAGGTTTCTAAACTTATAAAGAAGATTATATCGAAAATAAGAGTGTAAGTAAATCTTAAAGTTCGAATTTTTAGGAAATAAGGTTTTAGGTACGGAGAACCTCTGTCAATAATTATTTTCAACATGTGCTTAGTGCTCCATGGTAACAATAGATTGTAGAATACATAAATCTATCTGAAAAGTTGCTTGTGGTGTATGCTAGCATCTACCTTTCTTTTTAGATTGAGGAGGCTACATGTTTCTGGACGTATAGTTTCAAGTATTGGTATTGTAAATTGGTAACCAAGATGGTACCACTCTTGGACTCCTTGGACCCTTGCAAAGAATCGCACAATTCAAAAACGGTCATCCAGCAAGTTATAGTCGATCTATTGTAAGTTTTGTACTGACAAGTCATCGAAAATTATCTCGAGAGAATTCATTACTGTTAGATGTCCTGTGGAAGATATTTCTAGGATGTATTTCACGCTTAATCACAAGTACTTAGTAATTTATTAGAATAAAAAATGTATTTACTTTGCCTTTAGGAACCGTGTACTTTAAAATTGAAAAACTACAGAAGCCAATATACCATTTATAACAGTATCCAAATCAAGATTGATATTCATTTATTAGTTGTCAAAAAAATTAAACATAAGTACCATAACTAAGTATAACATAAGTACCTCTCGCTGCACTTTTACTTGTTAATAAAAACTTAACAGCGTGAAAACTCTGTAACTATTCCGGAATAAGAACGAAAATTCTGGAATGCTTGTTCTTAGTTACTCATATTTATTTTATCTATTTATATTATATTGACATTTTTAATATAATCACGTATGAAGTAATAAATACTGGAGTGTGCATAAGAAATATTATATAGTATTGATACCACATAATATAAAACAAAATCTTATATATAAACATATATATATATATTTATTTATTTTAAAATATTATTTCCATGTACATATTGATAAATAATTAAGCTTATACCTAGTCATAAATCTGTAAAAATATTTCAAGAATTTATGATTTATAGCGCAAAAATATCAGAGGATAATGCAAATTTTATAATTTAACGAAAATAAGAAAAAAAAGTTATATCAACCGGTCGTAAGAGCGAATTATGAAAATTTTTAAAATAAAAAACTGAAAACAATACGAAAAAAAAAAATATCCAAGCCCTGCTAAAAATAAGCCAAAATACAAAATTTCACATAATCGAAGTGATTTGTACAACTTCAAGTAGTTTGGGTAATGAGTGCTCCAGAGTCACAAAAAACAGAAAATAAATAAAACAAAAAAATTAATAAAATTGTAAACAATATATATCTGTGTAGATGCTTATCTGTCTGTATATTTATCAAGTTTTATACAAAATTAGCTCAAAAAAATGTTATAACAATAAACAACATGTTTACTAGTTGCTCACGCTCTTCGTGCTTTGGATTTGTATTTGGGTGAAGCGAACGAAATTCCATCGGAGTGCGCTGGTGATGAGCCATTTAAATATGAGCACCAAACGATGTGGAACCTTAGTTTTGAATTCGATCTCAACGTGAACAGATCAAAACCTAAAACTGCTTACAAGATTCAAAGCGAAGTATTTGAAAAATTTCACTCAAACAACTGCAATTATTTAAATTAATTGAATTTAAAAAGAAAATATAAAATTTCAACAAATAAAATATATAAAAGAAACTTAAGAGTTGATTATCTCTGCAATTTACAAAAAAGTGTAAAAAAGTATTTAAACGGAAAGTAGTAGAAAAATTCTATAAATTCTAAAATTTACTCATCAAAGTCAAAAATCTAATCAAACAAAATGTGCTCAATGAAATTGTGTTCAATATTTGTTGCAACAATTGTTCTGCTCGCTGCTGTTTGCTTTTCAAGCACGGAGGCGGCGGTATTCACACAAAATGCTGCATACCATCCTGGTAAGTTACATATTTATTTTTTATTTTTAATTTAAATTTGAAATAATTCAAAAATGTATTCATCAATCTCATACACGACTTCATCAAAAGGAAGTAGGAATTATTCTTTAACAGTGCTGTTAGTATGTATACCAGTTTTTTTTTTAAGTTGTATAACAGTTTAATTAATTATGTTACGCGTTTGTTGCTTAAGTCTTTTGTTTGTTTTTAGTTATTGAAAAACTATTTTTATTGAATTTGGACTTTAATATATTTAAAAAAAACTTTAGATATGTATGAATTAATAAATTGGTTTTATATTATTTGTTATATACGCATATATTAATTTTAAAAGCTTAAGTTTTTTATTCAAATTAAATTAATTAATTGCAAAAGGAATGCATATTTTTCTTTTATTGTTTATTATCTGATAATAACAAATTATCTGTCAATTCGTTTTATTATTGACCTTAACCTTGCATGACAAACAAACGAGTTTTGTTGATATTGGAAATATGCACCAGCATTTTAAGATATTTTTATATTTTTAGAAATATATTTATTTACACGCAACTCGGTTATATATGTGTAAATGTATGTTATGCATGCAGTAAACCCTAATAAGTTCATTAATTAAAAATTTTTATTTATTTTTTATTTATCAATAATTAATCAATATGATTTACTTATGAATTAAAAATGTAAAGGTACTCTCATTAAATGAGAAAAATTTTTGTAAGATTATAAATTTATATAATATTTTATAATTTGTTAAAACGTGCGTATATTATAATAAACTACAATTACAAGTTTATACAAAATATTTTATATTTGTATTATTTCTATACATTTTTTTTTCATATCTATTAAATAATTTATTTTTGTTGTAGTACATAGAAATTTATAACAATTATATTATATATATAAAGCTTACAGCTATAGCATTTTAGCCGTCTATCTATATTAATATATATATATATTTCTTCTTAGTTATTTAAATGTTATAATAAATAAATTATTGATATAGATTTTATTTCTAATTTCTAATTTTCTCATATAAATTTTTAATAATTATAAAAATGTAAATGTAATATAATTTAAAATTATTTTATAATATTTTATTTGATCAAGGGTTATGCATATAAATTCCAATTTATAAATTTATTTTTTTTTTTGTTTATCTGCACATTAACATCTCTTTTGAGATTAAATAAATCAATGCAATTGGTAAAAACCCAATTTTGGCATATTTTAATATATAATTTTTTTATTATTAATATTTTGTAGTAAACAAAGTTTAATTCATTTATGTTAATCTAAATTTGTGCCGAAACCAATCCATGGCTAAAAATGTTCTTCTACATAAATTATTTTGGACGCAAATCTGTGCTTTTGACGTCAGTAGAGCAACTTTTGGACTTGTTTCGCTACAATAATTTTTAGATACGTTTGACGTCAAGCCTAAGAAGCAACCGAATGAAATTATAATAAATAAAAAAATATTGATGTGAATATAAGAAAAAGAAAAAATAAATAAAGTTGTATAAAAATAAGTAAAAATAAAACCGGTAAAACTTCTATAAAATTAAGAGACGTCTTAGTCTTAGTCTTAAGCACATTTCTTATAAAAATTTATTTTTCATATCCCAAAGGCTTTAAAGCACCGGTACAATGAACCATTTTATGGCAAATTTGCTATCAGAAAAGCCAGGCGTTATCTCGTAGTAAAGGAAATTAATAAATAAATTAGCATAAGAAATGTGTTTTTTCTTTTAATTTAGAGACTTTTTGCTAATTTGCATCGCAATGCGGATTTTTAAACTATTTTTTTATAAACAATCACACATACATACTAACATTTGATTATGTTTAGGTCGCCTCTGAAGGTCGTCTGTAGCTTAATTTTTTTTTAATCATCATTATTATTATTATTATTGTTTTTTAATTAATTTTATTTCTTTAGCTTAAATGTTTGTATAAATATTTTAAGAATTAAAAATTAAAGGCAGCCAGTTCGATTGTTCGATTGCGTTTTCGTTCAAGTTTTTATTTTTTATTGCCTTTTAAGAGATATTTTTTTTAAGTAGGTGAATAAGTAAAGTCGAGTCAGCCATCAAAAATAAGTGATGAGTTCATTTGCAGCTTAAAACATTACTTTTATTACTTTTGTTATTTTTTCTTTAATGGCCAACAATTTAATTTAATTTTCAATTAACATTAAATTCTAAAAGCCAACAAATTCTGTACTTTTTGCCACTAAAAAGTATTTAATTATTTTTTTTTTTTTGGTATTTTTAAATTTATTGTTGAACTCTTTAAGAGCCAAGTTCGGTATTTATAAAAGCATATTTTTAATATCCACAAAATCTGTTTTTAATTGTGCATAACCGCAACTTAATTACTTTTGAATTAAGAACGCTTTCATATAAAAATAATTTAATTAATAAATAACAAATAACAAAATATGCAAAATGTTTATCTCTGAACAAAATTTAATATTTCGTCATTCTAAGAAAATAAATTTCGTGCCTTCATTTAGCAAATCGATCACGTCTATGCTTTGAGCAATTAATTGGCCTTTCAACTGAGTCAGCGTGAACATAGTAAACATTTCTGTATTCGCGATAAAATATGCAAAATTTATTGTTCCTACTTCCTCATAAAACATCACAAACGTACATAAAACGTATGAAATATTGAGTAGTCACTAACTTCCGCTTTGTTTGTCTTCTTTACTTACAGCGCATCCCGGCAAATGCTTCGACAAGATCACACGTCGCGCCATGTTGCCCAACAAGGAGTACAAACCGAAGGGCATTTGCGCTGCCATGACCTGCGATATCAGAACACTGACCATTAATATTGAAACCTGTCCCTACGTGGAGATGCCCGGCTGTGAGGAGCTGCCCGCAGATCCCACATGGTCATTCCCAAAATGCTGTCCGCAATTTAAGTGCACCGACTTCAAGACCGGCAAAGAATTCGTCGTGTCGCTGTAGTGCGTCTTCCGCGGGACCGTCCCAGTGCTGTGTCTTCTGAAAAATCGTGTGCAGCGTAGACCAGCGTAGAGCAGCGTAGAGCAGCGTAGAATCTTCGTTCGTCACACGCCTGCCCGATGCCTTTAGGCTTTAAGTACAATAAACAAATCGTGATTTTATACTTTGTATTTAATATTGTATGTAATTTAACTTGTTCGTGTGTGTGTGTGTGCCGAGGAGCCAGTGTGTGTGTGCGTGCCATCAACAATTTGTGAAATATCTCAACTCCATTGTTACTTCATTGATAATTTATTAATTTATTTATAAAAATCAACAAAAAATTTGTAAATACTCGTGTAACTTCCCTCATTGTTTCCAGTGAACTCGTTTATTTATAATTGAAACATTCTTAATTTATGTATTTATGTATTTATGTTCATGTATGAAAGTTTGTATCTCGCATTCTCGTATTAAGCAATCGAAAGTAACTCTAAAATCTGTTAAATTATTTATTGAGAAATCTTCTCCTCTTCTTAACTTTGATTTATTCAAATATTATTTATATTTGCGATATTTGCAGACTTAACTTATTTTAAGTTTATGTTTAGTTTTTTATAAATTATAAATTGAAAAAAAAATTGCATAAAAAAGAAAAAAATAAATATAAAACAATAATTAAATAAAATAATTTGGCTTTTATTTATTTAGTAGTCATTAATACGGCTTTTAGTATTAATATATGTTTTTTGTCCTATGACAAGAAGATCCATTTCGAATAGAAAGAGGGATAATACAAAGGCATTATATATTATTAAATTTTTATTTAATATTATTTAATATTTATTATTAAAAATTACTTTTATCTTATGACAAGACATCTATTTCGAATAGAAAAGTAGTCAATAAAATGAATTTTTATTTATATTTAATATTATTTAATTTTTATTATTAGAAATTATCTTTACCCTATGACGAGAAATCCATTTTTAAAAAGGGACAATAAAATGCCTTTAGGCATTAAAAATTTGAAAATTAAATATTATTTATTTTTATTTATTTTATATTAAATAATATTATTTAATTTTTATTATTAGAAATTATCTCTATCCTATGACAAGAAATCTATTTTGAATAGAAAGAGGGATAACACAATAGCTTTTTAGTATCAATAATTTGAAAATTAAATATTGTTTAATTTTTATTTATATTTAATATAATTTAATAATTATTGTGAGTAATTATCTTTATCTAATGACAAGAAATCTATTCCAAATATGGTAAAATGAAAGGTTTTTACATTTCTAAATTTTTAAAATTTACAATTTTTTCGGATATCGCTGAATATCTATAATCAGTGATGTTTAAAAATATTCTAAAGTATGATATATCTTTTGAAAATGTTTTATACTTACCATTAATAAAAAAACATAATAATTGCAGAAACAGAAATTTACAAGAAATTTTGAAATTAAATTAAAGAATTAATTTAAATAAATTTAAAAAATTAAAATTTCAAAATTAGGCTATTTTTGATTATCAACCTATTCTAGCGGACATATTGTGGTTTCGTAAATGAACTGTGACTGATTAACAAACCCACTATTAGACTGAAATCATTATTATTCAATGACATACTTCCATTTGTTATTATTTAAGAGCCCCTAACCAGCTTACAGATACTTAATTTTGTTAAATATTGTTATGTAGAAATATATATGTAAATATAAATAAATTCTTAAATCATTTTTTGAAACCGCAAGTACACTGACTCTGAGCTTTAAATTTAGCAGGGTATGAGTTCAATCCTTGGTATTTACAATCTCAATTAAATTCCAAGACCACTGATGGTGGTATCTGACAATACTCGAAACAAGTGGTATGGTCAGCCAAAAATTCAATTCATTAAAAAAGTATAAAAAGAGTTTGTGTTGTTGTAGTTCACTATTTTTCGAAACCTGCATATTATATATATTAGTTTCTATTAAGTAAAATAGTCACTATTGTCATATTGATGTTAAAATCAATAACTTTATAATATAATTTACACAAAGGACTTTAAATATTAAGTCCTAGAACTAATAAAAGACAATATGCTCACTTCAAAATGTTCAAAATAAATATAAATATCTTACCTTTTCAGTAGGGAAGAGGATAAAAATGTATCCCATCTGCTTTGTGTTTGCCCGGTTCATGTACGGTTGCGACTCAATACTTTAAGGGCCCTCTTTAACAGATTGTTTGAAAACACAAACCTTGGTCAAACTAAATATTAGACTAGATATAATCCGTAGTCTGTCGATATGCTAAACAGAGATAAACAGAGAGAGAGAGAGAGGATGATGTTTTATTGTGTTTTTGGCGGTTTTGGGTTGTGTTACTATAATATTAGATTTCATAAACTATAATTGCTCCATGATCCATGAAACATACGGAAGAGACAAATGAAGCAGAGCTAACAACTTTTGAGAAAATTTGGAATAAAATATAGTCACTGGCTTCAATTTCCTTTTAGAAATTTAAAGGATTAAGTATATAACATTGAAATTCACTTTCATTTTTAAGAATTTATTGAACTTGGTTTTATTCTAATATATTCACAAGAGTACAGAAAATATTTCAATTATTTTCAGATAAATTTCGTTGAGACGAAATTAGTCGATTTCGTCATATGTAAAAATATTTCAAATATTTGGCGTACGCGAAATGCGTTGCTAGCGGCACAAAAATATTAATAAAATAAAAACATAAATTCATAAAATCTTAATGTCTCATGATGACATTTGTTTGCTTTATATGGCTCAGTTAAGATTTTTTTTTATTTAGGCACATTACTACACACATTTAAATATTATAAAAATACATGATTTCATTTTGGTACTGCACTCGGTACTTTTTACACTTGCGAGGAGCCAATATTGACAAATCAATCCCAAAGCCGATTTTGTCGTGTGCCTCATTTTGGACAATTTTATTTTATTTATTTATGTTTTATTTACTTTTTGCATTATTATTCATTATCATTATTATTTGATTTTATCATATTTGCTTACATTTCTAACCACATCGACGGTTAATGTGTTATTTAATTTAGTGATTCACTAAAATAGCTCAGATGCTGGCTTTAAGTAGGAAATTCCAAGAAATTTGATGCCATTCATGTTTATCTCAAATCTTTGGACAAACTCGTTGTCTGACAATAAATTTTGGCAAATTAGTTAAGAAAATACTTTACGTCACTGATATGTAAATCTCTTGCTTTTTTAAGATATTTGAAGCTTAATGCTTGAGCTTCTTTCATCCGAACGCCGCAAATATTTTATGCAAATTGTGAAAGTTATTAAGCTATTTGAGCGATAAATTTCTTAAAATGCTTAAATTATTTTCGTTAAATTTATTTTAAAGGCTCAATCTTTGATTTGATTTAATAAATTTAACATCTTTGGGATTTTCCCCTCTTAACACCTTGTGACATTTAAAAACAAAAACCTTTAATCAAAATTGTGACATTAGTCCAAACGTTTTGTTTTTGCCAAATTTTAATTAAAGTTCGTGCTGTGTAAAAAATATATAAGAGGAAAATATCTAAATAGATTTTAAAAAAATATAATTTATACTAAATGAAATATAACATTCTTTATGTCATTGAAATCTATTTATTAAAAAATGTGTAGTTTTAATTAATACACTATTCATGGTCTATGAATATTCTATATATATATTATATAGAGAATATATATAATATATAAAATATATAGAATATATAGAATATATATAATATAATATATATAATATATAGAATAGACTACATAGAATTAAATTATTATTAAAATATATATATTTATATATATTCATATATTATTGATATATATAATATGTAGAATAGACTATATAGAATTATATTATTATTTATATATATATATTTATATGTATTCATATATATAATATATAGAATAGACTATTCATTAAAAAGCTTGTCAAAGGGTGTAATGCTGAAATAATGTTCATATTAAAAAATTTTACTTTTAATCAAGTAAATTTTTCAGCTAACCATATAGCTATTGGAAATTGGATACCGCCTAATATCTATTAACATCTATTGGTTTCTTTTTTTGTTAATTTCAGGAATCAATTATCTTTTTCTATTTGAAATAAATTTCTTGTCATTGGACATACGGTTAATTTTCCCCTTTTTCTATTCAAAACATAGTTCTCGTCGCAGGCTAGGTTAGATTTCTTTGAAGTGCCAGCCTTGTAAACGATCTTGTCCTAAAACATAGGGTTAATTTTTCGTCTATAATTTCTGAACTGAAAGTGTTAGGAATTAAACTAACTTCTCCATTCGAAATAGAATTCTTGACAAAGAACATAAACATTTTAATTGAAATCAGTAGTATAGATATTATTATGGCCATAAATGGATATAATAAAAATTATTTTTTTTCGAATTTGTATTGCAGTTCACTTAAGTAATAAAATTAAGAGTTAAGTTACTATGTGTATATAAACTAATCGAACCTTTAGAGCTTATTGTTATATTGTTATATAGATTTTGTATGGAAACTGGCAATTGCTGTTGAACTACGTACAATAGTCTTTACATAGTATTAGATGATTGTACCTATGTACAAGGAATTATTTTTTGTCAAATCTTCTTGCAGATGATTGAAAAAATTGAAATAACAGTTTTAATTGAAATAACAGGATTATGTCAAGCGGTGAGATGGGGTATAAGGTCCATTAAAAAATATTTTTCAACTTTTACAAAAGTTAGAGGTGAGAGAGATCTATCTAGATGTTCTAGATACATTTTTTGTTGTATTTTATATTTGTAGTTTAATTAATTAATTAAAATAAGATTAAGCAATAATATTATATACACATCAATAATACATAAATATGTATAAATATGTATATATTTTTTAAAGGTTCTTATAAAAGTAAATATAAGAAAAATATAAGAATAAAATTTACACTTTTATCATTTATTTTTTCATAGTTGTTAAGTTTCGCAAGTGCTTTAAAAGTTTTCTTATCGAAATTATAGTTAATATAAGTAAAAGCATATAAAACAAAAGTATATTAGAATTGTATAGTTGTTATTATCTGTAGATTATATTATCTACAGATGGTGTAATCTACTCTCTATAATATATACTCTCTGTAGTAGGTACACTCTATATCTCTCTATCTGGTACTTTATCCCATCGTAAATACGACTATGATTAAAATTTATTAAATTTATGTCGAAAAAATATGTTCTTACCTTTTTCAGCTAAATTTTGAAGCTCTTTAAATAAATAATATATTTATCTAATTAATTTTCAATGAATTTATATTTTAGTATAGTACATTAAATATATATTTTCGTAGTTAAAAATGAAATAATAAATAATTCCAAATAATTACAAATAAATTCTGCTTATTAGTTTAAAATAAGTTTAAATTAATTTTTAGTTATGGAGAAAATTCTTTTATATTAATTATATTATATTAATTTTAATTAAATAACTAAAATTATTAATTTTTAATAAATCAAGTATATATTTAATGTGAATTTGAATTTCTTTGAATTTGTAATATAATAATTTAATATTAATATATACATATTTTTTTGTTAAAATTAAATTATTACTGATAAATTATTATAATAATTATTATAATTAATAATAAT